CAATGATCTTAACTCCTTTTTGGCTTCTATCCCATAACCGATAGCCCTTAACTCCTTCGGGATATCCTAGAAAGACACACTTCCTGGCTCTAGGTTCTAATTTTCCCTCACTTTGATGAGAGAAGGCAGCACAGCCAAACGCTTTAAGTATTGAGTAGTCACCCAATTTTCCAGACCATTTCTCATGTGGAGTATCACCATTTAATGCAGCCGATGGAGTCAAATTTATCAGATAACAGGCAGTTACAACGGCTTCACCCCAAAATGACTTAGGAACACCAGAGCTTAACATCATGCAGCGCACTTTATCTAGTATGGTCCTATTCATTCTTTCTGCTACCGCGTTTTGCTGGGGAGTATAAGGAACCGTTTTGTGCCTTGTTATTCCACTTTCTTTACACATCCTATCGAATTCAGCATTACAGAATTCTAGGCCATTATCTGTCCTTAAAAATTTGATCCTCTTGCTAGTTTGGTTTTCCATTTGTTTCTTCCAATTGTTAAAGTTATGGAAGGTTTCAGTTTTGTCTTTCAATAGATAGACCCACACTTTCCTGGTATATCATCTATGATAGATAGGAAATACCTATTCCCACCCGATATGGGATTACTAACAGGACCCTACAGATCAGAATGCACATATTCAGCACATATTCAAGCATGCTTTTAGCCTTATGCGTACTAGTGGAGAACGACACTCTATGGTGCTTTCCGAGCACAGTGATCACAGAACGATAGGTCAGACACACAGTCATTACCAAATGCAGCTTTTTCATTAAGTAACTTAAGTCCCTTAATGCTTACGTGTGCAAGTCTATTATGCCACGTATGTGTGTGATCGATTTTGACGGAAGAAATAGAGGAGTTTAATCCTCTAATTACTTCCCCAGTAGTGATGTAAATATCGTTGTTCTTGATTCCCTTAATAGAGATTAATGCTCCCTTCATCATTTTAAACATACCGTTTTCAATTTTAACGGTGAAGTTGTCTTTCTCAAGTCTTCCTACTGAAATCAAATTCCTAGATAATTCAGGAATGTATCTAACTTCCTTTAACATGTACACAAAGCCCGTGTTAAATTTTATCTTTATATCTCCAATTCCAGCTATTGTATAGGCAAAGTTATCACACAAAACTACTTGCCATCATTAGATTCTTGCAAGTTTTCAAACCAGTTCTTTTCAGATGTCACATGAAAAGACACACCAGAATCTAATATCCATTCATGCATGTGAGAATTAGTGGTTAGATTTAATTCAGTAGTGTATGCGACTGGACTAGTGATCACATAGACTTCACTGTTTTCGGTATCGGAGGTAGAGGATAACATATTTACCTCATCTCTTTTCTTAACCTTTTGTTTTCCCTTTTCTTTATGACAGTCTTTTATAAAATGCCTTGTGCCTTCATAGCCATAGCATTTTCTAGCCTTACTTCTAGACTTTGACCTAGGTCTACCATTCCCCTTCTTTTTCCAACTATTACTACTTGATTCACCACTACTTTGGTATCCATCATGACTGGCTTGCCTAAATTGAGTTCTACCCCGCATCACATGCAACTCTCCACTCCTCCTATCCTGTTTTTCAGCCCTCATTTCCATCTCTTTACTCCTAAGAGAATCTACGACAATTTCAGGTGTTAACGTGTCCCTACCATACTTAATGGCGTTTTTAACTTCTTTATAAGAGTCCGGGATTGAATTGAGCAAGATAATGGCCTTATAGGTTTCAGACACGGCTTCGTCACAATTGACAATATCTTACACCAATTTGTTAAATACATCTAAATTGTCGTCGAGATCCTTTGAAGGATCCATCTTAAAGCTGAAGAATCGTTCGAGTAGGTAGAGTTTATTTGGTGTAGATTTAAGCAAGTATAAGTCTTCCAGTCTTTTCCAAAGTTCTTGGTAGTTTTTAGTTTTCTCACTTTTCTCAAGACAGCGTCAGAAAAGTGTAATATTATTGAGGTATAGGCAAGCTCATCGACTTCCTCTTTTTGTTCTTTTAAGATGTCAGGTGCAAAATAGCCTTCGATGGCTTTTGACACCTTTTGTTGGACTAATATGCTTCTCATCTTTTGTTGCCAGATAGAGAAGTCCCCTTTACCGTTAAATATTCCCAAATCAAAATTATGTGTTGTCATTGGTTAACACACTAATTAAACCACACGAAGTAGTATTGGGAATCGTGATAAGGTAATATCTTGTTAATTCTTAGCAAAAGTAACAATGAACCTAAACGCTACGTCTACCAAGAAATACCAAGCACTTTAAATCAAAAGAACAAGCACTCAATTAACGCAATAATCCTAGTTCTAGCACAAGCAATGGTTACCCCTTCACGGTAACCCCAAAACCTAACGATCACCCCGCACGATGATCTTGCTATTGCTGAATTTAAATGGATTAAGCTAATTTACCAGAGCGGACCTATCTGAGTCCGTAGAGTGGAGAAAAATGAGCTTGCTGTTCAATTTCAGTCGGCGTCGCACCAAGGGCAAAATCGTCCAACTTTTTCTGTGTAACCTGAAACACAAAATAAAGTATATCAGCGCGTTCAGGAGATCGAAACAAGCAAGTTACCTGAAGACAGCTTTGCCGGACTGTCGCCCACGCGCCGCCGCCGTCATCGTCCATGCGCCACCTCAGCAGGGGCGCCTCGACCTGCTGGTAATGGGTATGGCCTCCGTTTGTCCAACTGAGCTTTGGTTTGTGAGTCATTGAAGAATTTCAGATTCGGGTTCTACGTTGAATATCTGAAAATCAGCCGATTTTGAGCCATTTTTTGCTACCCACGCTCTGATACCAGATGTTAGGATCTTCCTCTAGCTGCTCAAGGTGATTTTCGAGCTCAGTTAACCACTAAACATTGAATCAACACCAAGAAATTGGAGGTGACCGACCGCCGGCGTGCTTGTCTTCCTATGGTTGCTATTGCTCCTTTTGCTTGTTGTTTCTTCCACTCACTTAGGATGGATACCACACAGGTAAGGGTCACAAAGACTCAAGCAAGAAGTAGAGAAGATCAATCAATAGGATGCACAAGGAAGAAGAAGGAAACTGCCTCTCTCTCTATCTCTCTCGGGTTCTCTCACGCACGGGACTAACATGAAGAAAGGGAGTTACCAATTTATAATAGTCCAATGGCCAACTTAAGGTAAGTCATAATATGGTAAGTAGGCTCGACTAGGGTTAAGTCCCAATAGCACACCAACAAGCCACAAAGGTTATTAGCCATCCAATAGGTAAAGCAACGCTAGGTCGGGTCATCCCATTATTCGGCGTTGATTTATCATTCAGTCATTCATGTCGACTGATAAAACTGATTTTCATCATCGCCCGTAAGGTCGTTTGACAACATGATGTCTAACAGGCTGATCTCCTCTCCTATTTATTTCTAGGATGTAATTCATTTTTCAGGTATATTCCTATTCATTTGCTCATGATACTTGAATGTAAGAGGCTTTTGTCATAGCCTATTTCCAACTGCTCCAGCACCCAACCCATCGAAGACGCTGGAGGACCTTTCAATCTCTGCTCTTGTTCATAAATCGGAGAAAAGTTATCTTCTCCATTGAATGAGTTATTCGAAGTCTAGCAAGATGGGTAATTTTGAGGCACATCAGCTTCTACTTCTATTTAATAGGGCGACGTCTCTTCTATGCCTGTGAAAGTGAGCCATATCACTTTGCACTTTTTCCTCCTCTTGCTGGTTATCACATTGGTATTGATGGCCTTGGAAGAAGCCTAGCTAAGGCATGTTCTAGGGCACTGCATGTCCATTTGTGCCTGCATCTATTGGAGAAGTTACTGCATTGTAAATTTCTACTCTGTGTTGTTCCTCATGTTGGCATCTATTGCTACCACTTCTCCAGTGAGACGGATCGTAACCCTACCACTTCTACAATGGTAAGGTCCAGGTCCCTCGTTCATCTACAACTCATTCAATCTTCACTTGAACTCACGATGGGTGGACGCTTCTCTTACACAAATAGAGGGTCTTTTTCAGCAGATTTTTCTCTTCAAAGTTCGACTTTTTATGGAAAACTCAAAACACTCAAGAATGAAGCGCACTTCGAAAATATTCTTTTTTCCAAACTCGCACTTCTTCTTTATTTAAGAACAAAGCCTTTTTCAAGGGGAATGTAAATGCACCTTTCAGTTAAGCTTTTTCTCATGAGGTTGTTTGTTGTCAATAATGTGGTTTTTCACAAACGTCACCAATCTATTGACCTGATTTTGACAAGGGTGTCGTGATCAATGGATTTTGGCTCCTTTCACATCCATGCATATGGCTTCTACATATGTGGCCTTTTCCAAAGGTAAGGAAGGCAATCGCAAGCACTTCAATGAGTCAACTTGTACAAGTATATTTGGGTATGGGATGTACAAAAGACGAGAGCCACAGAGGTATTTGGACGCCCGAATCTTTTATAGAGAACAATGTTACAGAGACACATGACGTCATCCTAATAGTTGATGCTCCTTATCATATGCATGAGGTCACATTAATCAATTATAGAAGATGTTGTACGGATCTTAAGAAGGTGCATCATATGCCTAAAACATATTTGGTTTGAATTGATACTATGGCATGTTGTATTGCCTCACCTTATCCATGGAGGGTTCGACCTCTACATGAGGATTCAACCGAGTTTGTCACTCTGATTACGGAAGGAAATCAGATAGGCCAGGTAGGATAGTGTGGAATACGAGCCTAAATTTGCTTACTACGTAGTTGTCACATGACCGTTTCAGGTTCGTTTGATGAGGCCTAAAAGAGACGATCCAAAAGCCCATTGCTACATAAAGTCCTAGGCTCGATCGTCTTTTAAATTTTATTATATTATATTTTTTCCAAATGTTTCTTGTTTCCCAAAACATTACCTTCATGTTGTTTGGGCCATTTTGAAAATGTTCTTTAACAAACAGATTTTTCTCCTAACGCATTTGAGTAACGTGATACAGAGATTATATTAAAATAACAACCAACAGAACAATATTAATTTATTTTCTTTAATGCATGTAAATGCCAAACTGTGGGTACAATTCACAATAATACACAACATATGGTATTTAACAATATAAAGGAAGAAGAAGAAAGGGGAAAAAACAAAAAAATATATAATATGTCATCTTCTGTCTTCATTCAAACAATAGATTGTAAAGTAATCGGCCATCAGCCAGGCTTCAAGAGTTGAAATCTGCTGTCCTCTAAAATTTTGTCACAATTCAGTGAATAGAACGACATTTTTGCTCAGAAGAGTTAATGCAGTGAGGTGTCAAAATTTTACTAGGGATACAGCTGATGTCAACTTGGACTTCTTTCATCAAGGCTTTGCCGGCTCTGCTGCGGGAGCAGGTGGTGGTACTTCTTCAACCTTCGGTGGCTCAGCCGTGGTTGAACAAGTGCTGGCCTCCTCAGCAGCCGGTACTTCTTCTTTCTTCACTTCTTCCACAGCAATATCCTTCTCTTTCACCTCTGGGCCGCTCGTATCTTCTCCAGTTTTCCCTGGAGTAGCCTTGGCTGGTGGTGCAGCCTCTTCTTTTTTCTCCTCCGCGACTACAAACGTAGAGACTTGCTCAAACACGAAGAAAACCGGGCCTGCTAAATATGCTGGCCCGACTTTGGAAGCTGCATCACAGACTGGTTTGGTTCCCGGAAATTCTTTCAATGACAAGGAAAAACAAGTTTATCAATCGTGATAAAAATATGCAGTTTCACTGTTCACTAATTAAATAGGGTAGATAAGTACCAATCTTGGCAAGCTCATCAAGGAATTTCTGAACTGCTGCTGAATGTTTCTTAAGACCTGCCTCCTTGGGTTCCTTCACCAAAGTCTACAGAAATAAAGATTATTCAATAAATATCAAGTTTACGTAAAGACCCAAGTCTTAACATGGCATTAGAACTTAAAACGAACTATTAAATCCATTTAAGTTTACTCAAAAATTCGAAATTCAATATAGATGAGCTAAACGAGTCACTATGTTATCGACCATATATATTAAGGATAAAAATCTCATATTGAACTTTTAAGATGGAACATCAAATCTTAGTATCAAGTACCTTGATTTCAGTGGATGACGCTTCATATATTTCTATAACTTTTGGTTGAAGCTCAGTCTTCTTCTCTTCGAACTCTTTCGTGTATTGCGCCTGAATCCAATAAAAAATATCAACTACCATTAATATAGGAGTTGTTGAAGACAAATACTAGTTATTCATTTCATTCTTAAAAATAAACAAGAGCTTCTACCTTAGCATCATCGAAGAGCTTGCAGGCTTCTACGGCAGCAGTCTTCTTGCTGTCTTTTTTATCGAAAACCTTCTTGATCGTTGGAAGAACCTTGGATTTCCAGTAATTCACCATCTTTGATCTACTGCTGATTTTTCACTTCCACCCAAGTGGAACTCTCGAACTCTATATAGACACAAAGAAAATCACAAATCAAAGTAATTAATTATACATATGCTTAAAAGGAGAAATGGGAAGAAGGAGGAGGAGGAGGAGGAAGAACCTCTATCTGAATAATAATGCTTGAATGCGAAGGTTGCTTTCTGAGGTCTTCCAATAAATTCAAATGTCAGCAGATTGTGTCTTTTGTATCTATTAATTGTATTTGTAACCAAATCAAAGGAATTTTATAAGGGCTGTGGGGTAGGGTAATGCTGGTCACCGCACATATCAATAATCCTTAGCTTATGTTTTACTAACATTAAAACAAAACTCTTTTCTCAGTCTCTTTTTCGATCACGCATTCTCACAATAAAATATTTTATACCTAAATTCAAAATTTTTCCTGCTTTTTAATCGTACGTTCTTCATCAAATCACTATTCCAAAATTCCATTTCTCAAAAAAATAAAATAATTTAATGCGTATCAAGCAGGAACTTAGTTTTTCTTCATTATTAGTGTACATTTCGTCAATGATCATCGAAATTTAAGTAAAATTTCAATTGGATTGCTAAATTTAAATTTATCTCAATTTGATCATTGACAGAAATTAACTGCTATATCATCGGTGGTCTTTCACATAATCGCTATGTGACAAACTAAAAATGAAAATCATGAACTTGAGTATATGGTATATATATATTAAAATGTTAAAGGACGTGTTTTTTCACACTTTATGACGTGATCGTAGTAGTAAATTAGCACATATGAAAGATTAGGTGAAAATATACGTTGTGCAATGGCTTCTAATTAAAAAGATTATCAATTTGGCAGATGGAAAGTTACAAATTTCGAAAACAAATTCAAATTAGTAACATAGTTGAAACTAAATTGAAATTTAATAACTCAGCTAAAATTTGACACTTGTATATATACTTAAATTTTTGATGGTAATTTTGTGTAACATGATTGTTTTATTAAAATAAAGCCAATTAGCCAGATTCAAAAATAAGGAGCGAAGAGATCGACTGATATGTCAAAAAATGATTTGGTATTTTTATTTTATTTTTTCAAATTGTTCAATCATGTATCGAAAAGTATCACATCTGGATTTAAGTTTGAATTTGAGTCTGAATGTGTAACACGATTAATTTTATTAACACAATTTTGGACCGAATTGTCACACATATATCCCCAATGTTTTTTCCACATTCTTATCCTCAATATTCTATTTAATCAAGTCATTGATGACTAATTCAATCCAAAAAGTCAGTTAAGATGTCATAAATGACGTATTTAATATTTTCAATGAAAAGCATATCCAAAATGAGACGTAATATTTGCTCATTATTTGAAAGCATAATAACAGAATTTGAACAGATGGAACTGGATATATTATTTAATGGAAGTGTTCATATAAAAAAAAATAATAATAATAAATAAATGTAATAATAACTAAAAATGATGGCTTTTATCATAAATAATTATATAGTGGCAATATAATCATCCTTTAATTGCCTCTACTATCAATAATTGGTTAGTGGGATATGATTGGTTTCTTACACTAATATATTCTCAGTCTAATAAAGATTTAAATTATATTTTTAATAAATTTTAATAAAGTTTGATAAAATGTACAGTTAAATAATTATGAATTATATGTTATTAAAATTAATTATTTTTTTAATTTAGATTAAAAATTATATTTTAATCCTATTAGAACATTAATAAATAATAATACAAGGTATGGTAGCAACTCAACTCCAAGCAAGCAAACCAGTAAACAACTCGGTTACGTGAACGGGTGGAGAATGACGGGGGTAAAATAGGAAATGAACATGGTGGATAACAGCTGGCAATCAGATCATTCATAGGTGGAAGAATATTCACACGTGGGACCCCCTTGCACGACTATACTGATCTGTACACTTATTCCCCCTCAATCTCTCTCTCACGTGGCTTACCTGTTTCTACAAGGGAAAAAGATACACGTCGAGAACCACATTGGCCTTGGCCCTGGCCCTGGCCCTGGACGTCAAGCACGGCTCTCCTGCAAGCTAAGGAGCCAGCCAATTGACATCCAATTCATCTGCTAATGTTGTGGATTTTAGTGCTACTAGTTAATGTTGACGCACGTTATTTTGTAATGTTCTATAAGTACGATGAAAGAAATATTTTTGCTCTTCATCCACTATTTTTATATAAATATTATAGAAATGCCAGTATCTGAAAATAAAAGGTTAATTATTATACATGCAAAAAAATAGTAAAATTGATTCTAATCAAATGAATATGAATATTAATTAATTGAAAATTAATAATAGGGACATGAACGTGAATTTGAATGTGAAATACTAATTAAATGAATGTGAATGTTAATTAATGGAGAATTGACATAAGGAATACATGCGTGAACAAGAATTTTGTAGCATTTATTACGGTTTATGAATTAAATACATATTAAAAAATGAAAAGTTAGGTATTATTGAAATAATTGAATTAAAATGGGGGCTATAATCGTTCAAAAAATTATTATCACTTGACATAATATTTAATCTATTATTCTTCTTATAGTTTCCTTTTTTGTTTTTTTTTTATTACAATTAGGAGATATTTAGCCCACAATATTAAAGGGAATTACGGGTTTCCCCAACTAAAATTTTAATGAATTTTAAAAAGACTCTAAAAGGGGTATCCTCAATTGAGATTGTGACGAATTTTAAAAATCCTTCCAAATTTAGGTGTTCTTAATTGAGATTTTAATGAATTTTAATAAGATCTATTAAAATTTAAGTATCCCTAATGAAATTATAATGAAATTCAATAAAATTAGCCCTTGCTTGAGCCACACTATTTTCATAAGAATGTATTTTGGAATAGTATATTGATGGAAAATATATTTTTAAAAAATAAAGAAAAATTTTGAATTTGCATTTAATATTATTTTATTGAATAATGTGTGATTGTAATGATATCAAACTGCTATTTAAGAATGTATTTTTAAAATAATGTGAGTTAAATAGTGCCTTAAAATTTAGATATTCTCAATAATTAGTAATTTTATAACAATTTCATTAATAGAGGAATTTTAAAATTTTTGGATGGATTTTAAGCTTAAGAGTACAAATAACTAATTTTTTTGAAATTTCAAAAAATATATTCATGATCCCAATCATGTGGAAAGTTATCAAACTTTGGAGATATAAAAAGGCTAATCATATGAAGAGGTCCCAACGATGATTTTAGATAGAAAGGTGCACCAACTAAGAAACAGAGAGATTCTCCTGATTAGGGTTCAATGGCAAAATATTGGACTTGGAGAGTCAACTTAGGAGAAGGAAGATAAACTTAAAACTAAGTATACAGAACTTTTTGATTAGCCACGTAAATTTTTGAGGACGAAAATATATTAAGGAAAGAAAATTGTAAAACAAAATAAATAAATAAATAAATAACAACAACAACAACAATAACAATAATAATAATAAATTCATAGAATAGAATTTCTTGTTTTAGATGCTATATCTTATATTTTGGAAAATTAGGGGACTGAAGTAATATATGTATTAAATTCAATTTTATTTGTGCTAAATAATTAGATTTTGATAGAGCAATCATACGTATATCAATTTGGGCTTTGCTTTGATAGCTTGTATTTAAGCATGTATATTAGGCTCAAGAAACAATTAATTAGGATAAGCAAAGCCTAAGTTATTGAGATTTAAAGAAGTTGTTATTTATTTAGTATTTGCATAAATTTTGGTTACCTAACTCTAAAGGGTGGCAGCCACGTGTATGTATGGTTAAAAAGGGATAAAGTAGTTTCCTTTTGACCTTGAATGAGATAACTATAAGCGTTATGATCTTGATTGAAACCTTTCCTTGTAGGACATGACACAACTATCAAGTACACTAAGAGTGTATTTGATTCACATGGAAAATATTACCTAGAAAAGAAAATGTTTTCCATCTTTTGTGGAAAATAAAAATTACCTCTACCCAAAGAAAATGTTTTCCTTAAAAACAAGGAAAATTAAGCATATTTTCAAAAGTTGGAAAATATTTTCCATGGAAAAAAATAGCAATCAAACACTCTAAGTAGGAATTTGGGTGGAAAACTGATATTTTTCATGGAAAATAAATGTAATCAAACACACCCTAAAATTTATGTCTTGTTAGAAAATTGTAGAATTGTCTGTGCTATATACTGTTGCAGCTCGGTCTTTCTTTCTCCTAGAATTATTCATAAAAATTCAATTTGTTTATTTATTTTCATTTTCTTTTTACTTATAATTAAACCATTTTCTATGAGCTTATTTAAAGTTATCTCTAAATACTTCATATGTTCTTTATGACCTTTACTATGTACTAAAACATCATCTATATATACACAAACAAATGAAAAAGAATTAAAAATACTATCCATCTTTCTTTGAAAAATAGAGGGTGCAATTTTTAATCCAAAAGGCTTGACTAACCATTCAAATTTCAAAATGTCCTAATGAAGAAATAAAGCTATCCAATTCGGGGGTTGAATTTCGACCATTCAGGGGTCGAAATTTCTAAACGAAACTTTTTAGAAAATCTTTTCTCTTAAAAAAGGAATCTTTGTATTAATATTATTTTCTCTTATAATCTTTACATCTTTTTTTACAATCTTTACGATCTTTTACCAAGAAACTTGGATATTGAGATATAGAGAGTTCAGTGATTTGCTTCTTAAGCTGTAAAGAGGAGTCACCTCTATTTATATCTAATTCATATTCATATCAAAGCATATTTATTAGTCCAAAATGATTAGTTTATGAAAAGAATAAAATACTTAAATCTAGAGATTCTAGGAAATTTTAGTTTATGAAAAGAATAAAATACACCTTTTTTTAATTTGTAATTTCGTGATGTGATCCAGGGGGCAAAAATTATCAAGAACTTGTTGATAGGCGGATAAGAGATCGAGACCAATACTCAAACTTAATTTGAGCCCACAAGACCGCACAAATACTTGGTTGAGCTTTGGAGTTGATAGGGACGAGTGGAACAAGCCAAACAACAACTTACATGTTGGTCATGAAGGCAAAATCATATTTGGTACATTGGATTCAAGTTTTGGAAGATATATGGAAAAACAAGTAGCGTGGATTAAAAGGGACATAACTTTCAGCTCGGGCATCGAATTTTGTCCACGAGCACAATCCGGAATAGTTGCAAAATTCTGCAAAAGAAGAA